ATTTGGTTTGCCAGTGTTCCAGACTTTGCCCATTCCAATAGGTGTAGTGATATCTCATTGTTGTTTTAATTTGCATTTCCCTGTGACATATGATGTGAAGTATCTTTTCATATGCTTATTTGCCATCTCTATGTCTTTGGTGAGGTCTCTTCAGGTCTTTGACCCATTTATTAATTGGATTGTTTATTTTCTTATTGTTGAGTTTTAAGAGTTCTTTGTATATTTTGCTATTGTATTTTTTTTTCCCCAAGGAAGATTAGCCCTGAGCTAACATCCACCACCAATCCTCCTCCTTTTGCTGGGGAAGATTGGCCCTGAGCTAACATCTGTGCCTGTCTTCCTCTATTTTCTATGTGGGACGCCTGCCACAGCATGGCTTGATAAGCAGTGCATAGGTATGCACCCGGGATCCGAACTGGTAAACCTGGGCTACCGAAGCAGAGCATGTGAACTTAATTGCTGCACCACTGGGCTTGCCCCTCTATATTGTGGATAATAGTCCTGCATCAGATTTGTTTCTTGCAAATATTTTCTCCCATCTGTGGCTTGTCTTCTTGTTCTCTTGACATTGCCTTTCACGGAGTACAAATTTTTAATTTTAGTCAAGTCTAGCTTATTAGTTATTTCTTTGATGGACCATGCTTTTGGTGTTATATCTAAAAATCATCTCCATGCCCAAGATCAATTAGTTGTGTTCTATGTTGTCTGCTAGGAGTTTTTTAGTTTTGCATTTCTCATTTACGTTTAGACCTATGATCCATTTTCAGTTAATTTTTGTGCAGGACGTAAAGTCTGTCTCTAGATTCGTTTCTTTGCATCATGACCATTTGCTCTGGTGCCATTTGTTGAAAAGACTGTTTTTGCTCCAAGGTATTATTTTTGCTTCTTTGTTAAAGATCAGCTGATTTTATTTATGTGGGTCTGTTTCCAGGCTCTCTGGTATGTTCCGTGGCTTTGTTTATCTCTTCTTTCACCAGTACCACACAGTCTTCATTTCTGTAGCTTTCTAATAAGTGTTGCAGTCAGGTAGCATCAGTCTTCCGACTTTGTTCTCTTCTTCAAACTGAGTTGGTTGTTCTGGGTCTTTTGCCTCTAAAACTGGAGAATCAGTTTGTCAATATTCACAAAATAACTTGCTGGGATTTTGGTTGGGATTGCATTGACTCTGTAGTTCAAGTTGGGAAGAACTGACATCTTGACAATATTGAGGCCTTTTATCCAGTAACATGGAATATCTCTCCATTTATTTAGTTCTTCTTTGATCCCTTTCATCGGAATTTTGTAGTTTTCCTCATATAAATCTTATACATATTTTGTTAGATTATACCTAAGTATTTGATCTTTGGGGGATGCAAATATAAGTAGTATTGTATATTAAATTACAAATTCCAGCTGTTTGTTGCTGGTATATAGGAAAGTGATTGATTTTTGTATATTAACCTTGTATCCTGCAACCTTGGTATAATTGCTTATGAGTTCCGGGAATGCTTTTTTGCCAGTTCCCTGTGATTTTCTATGTAGATGATCATGTTGTCTACAAACAAAGACATATTTCTTTCTTTCTTCCCAATCTATTAACCTTTTATTTCCTTTTTTTTAACAGCTGTTGCCAATCTTCTCCCCCCCTCCAACTTTTTCCCCCCAAATCCCACCAGTACATAGTTGTACATTTTAGTTGTGGGTCCTTCTAGTTGTGGCATGTGGGACACCACCTCAGTGTGGCCTGATGAGCGGTGCCATGTCCACGCCCAGGATCTGAACCAGTGAAACCCTGGGACCGCCAAAGCGGATGAGTGAACTTAACCACTCAGCCACGGGGCCGGCCTCTCCTTTTCTTATTTTATTGCATTAACTGGGATTTCCAGTTTGATGTTAAAAAGAGAGGTGAGAAGGAATATCTTTGCCTTTTTCCTGACCTTAGTGGTAGAGCTTTGAGCTGAGAACATTAAGGAGGATGTTAGCGGTAGGTTTTTTCCTAGATATTCCTTATCAAGTTGAGGAAGTTCCCATCTATTGCTAGTTTTCTGAGAGTTTTTATCATGAACTGGTCCTGGATTTTGTCAAATGCCTTTTCTGCATCTATTGATATGATTACGTGATTTTTCTTCTTTAGCTTGTTGATGTGTTGGATTAATTACATTAATTGATTTTCAAATGTTTAATCAGCCTTGCATTTTGTTGTTAGTGCCATCAAGTCAATTTTGACTCCCAGCAAAGCAACCGTGTGTAGAGCAGAGTGGAAGCCTGCCCGCTATTTTCACGCCGTCCTCTCCCTTAGGCACTATAGCAGATAGTGCCCCACTGCTGTTCACAGGGTTTTCATGGGCTTCTTCCTAGTCTGCCTGAGTCTGGAAGCTCCACTAAAACTTGTCCACCATGGATGACCCTGCTGGTGTTTGAAATACCGGTGGCATAGCTTTCAACAACACAAGCTGCTGCAGTATGACAACCAACAGATGGGTGGTGTGGTTCCCTGGGAAATGAACCTGGCTGTGGTGGTAAGAGTGCCAGATCTTAGCTACTAAACCACCAGGGCTGGCTTAGCCTTGCATACCTGATATAAATCTCACTTAGTCATGGTGTATAATTCTGTTTATATATTGTTGGATTCCACATGCTAATATGTTGTTGAAAGTTTTTGGATCTATGCTTATGAGAGATAGATATTGGTCTTTAGTTTTCTTTTCTTGTAATGTCCTTGTCTGGTTTTTGTGTTAGGGTAATACTGGCCTCATAGAAAGAGTTAGGAAGTATTCCCTCTGCTTCTATCCTCTGAAAGAGATTGTAGAACTGGTATAATTTCTTCCGTAAGTGTTTGGTAGAAATCACCAGTGAACCTGTCTAGGCCTGGTGTGTTCTATTTTGGAAAGTTATTAATTATTGATTCAATGTCTTTAATAGATAATAAGCCTGTTCAGATGGTCTGTTTCTTGTGTGAGTTTTAGAAACTTGTGTCTTTCAAGGAATTGGTCCATTTCACCTAGGTTATCAAATTTGTGGGCATAGAGTTATTCACAGTGTTCTTTTGTTGTCTTTGTGATGTCCGTGGGATCTCTAGGGATGTCCTCTCTTATTTCTGTGCTAGTAATCTGTGTCTCTCTCTCTTTTTTTGTTAGTCTGCCTGGAGGCTTATTGATCTTTTCCAAGAACCAGCTTTTGGTTTTGTTGATTGTTGATTTCCTGTTTTCAATTTCATTGATTTATGCTCTAATTTTTTATTATTTCTTTTCTTCTACTTACTTTGGATATAAATTACTCTTCTTTTTTTAGTTTTCTAAGGTATAAGCTTAGATTATTGATCTTTTCTTTTTTTTTTTAGATTGGCACCTGAGCTAACATCTGTTGCCAATTTTTTTCTTCTTCTTCTCCCCAAAGCCCCCCACTACATAGCTGTATATTCTGGTTGGAGGTCCTTCTGGTTGTGCTATGTGGGATGCCACCTCAGTGTGGCTTGATGAGTGGTGCCATGTCTGCACCCAGGATCTGAACCGGCGAAACCCTGGGCTACCAGAGTAGAGCACATGAACTTAACCACTTGGCCACGGGGCCGGCCCCTACCTTCTTTCTTTTATTTGGTGTCCAAATAAAAGAGGGTTTGGGGGTCCTGAGAATTTGGGGTCCTGAGTTTACTTTCTCAACTCTGATTTTGTTCTCTGAACATCATCCTTCCTCCAAGACTTAAAGGAAGACCTTGGAAGAGATGGCTCTGTGAAGTAGAGGATTATGGAAATATGCCAGTACATAATTTGCTTGGAGATTGTTTGGAAGGGATGCTGGAAACCTGTTGGGTGAGGTTGTCTGAGACGGGTAATGAAGCACAAGGTAAACTCTATAAGAGGGTTAAAGTAAATACAAATTATTAAATTTTTAGAACAAGTTTCTTACAAGAGAAGCAAACTGCTAACTAGTGAGGAGGCTGGAGTAAACAACCTCTTAGACAACAAAAGACAACCAGAGCAAGGACAACAAGAGATTAGGAGAGAGAAAAACAAAAACGAGAGAGAACGGTTTGTAGAGCCGAGAGACTTGAATGGCTGGGAGTCTGAAGGAGACTTCGTAAGCAAGAGCCGGGAGTTAGCGCACGCGCAGCTCTAGCTGAGTCACTCAGGGATGGCCCCCGCAGGTGCACCTATTGTGGGATCCTTGTGGTGGTGATTATCATACTGTGTGTCTGCTGAGGAGTCACTGCCTCCCTGACCAGAGGTGAACTCCGTCTGGCAGCCTCTTTCGGATAGTACCTCCCTCCCAAATTTGTTTCTATCCTAATTCATATTTATTCATGTCTAGTTTCATTTTTATTTTCAAAGACAGGATTTTATTTGAGCAAGAGTAATCATCATAGTAAAATGTGTACATTTTAGTTTAATTTTATGAACTATGTAATTATGCTATGTTTAACCGGAGAGGCTGACCTCTTTGCTGCCTGGTGGTACATCACCACAAATGGCATCTTCCTAAAAAAGAAAACTTCTAAATTTTCAAGACAGAATATTTTTATTTGCTTACCCCACACACAGTGACCAAAATGAAAAATGAGGTTTACTATTTTTATCCTTAGTACATGATGATATTAAACAGACTATGTGCTTATCATAATAAATATTTTTTTAGAGACTGTTAATGCCGTAGCTATTTGGAAATTTGTATTGGGAGTTTTAGCCTTATCTTTTAACTTTTTGTTTTTGTTTGTTTTTGTTTTTGTTTTGTTTTGTTTTTTTGGAGGAAGATTAGCCCTCAGCCAACTACTGCCAGTCCTCCTCTTTTTTCTGAGGAAGCCGGGCTCTGAGCTAACATCCGTGCCCATCCTCCTCCAGTTTATACGTGGGACGCCTACCACAGCATGGCTGCCAAGCAGTGCCATGTCCGCACCCGGGATCCGAACCAGCGAACCCCGGGCCGCCGAGAAGCGGAACGTGCGAACTTAACCGCTGCGCCACCGGGCCGGCCCCATTCTCTTTAACTTTTTAATTATAATGACGACTCATGTTTATTTTAGGAAATTTTAAACCTGGATAAGCAGAAGGAAAATTTGTGTCATCTATAAGTCTATCACCTGTTAACGTTTTGCATTATCTTTCCAGCATTTATGTTTACACATGAAACTTTTAAAAATAGGATAAATAGGGTCATACACAAATCATTGTTTTGTATTCATGAATATATCATGAACCCCTTGTCATTCTCCACTAAACATTATAAAGAAATATTTCAGTATTCCATTGTACCCATCCACCACAGGTTATTTAAGCAATCCCCTGTTGTTGGACACTTAGTTATTTCCAGTTTTTTCACTGTTATTAACAGTGTCATAGGCTCAGAGTTAAATCTTTGTTCACATTCTTAGGGTGTTTGTAAAGTATAAGAAATGTATTTTACACTAGTCCTGAAGAGCAGCTTGATGATTGGGTTTTTTGTTTTTTTTTGCCAATTTCATGTGAAAACATGGTATCTGCGCTTTTTGATTTGAGTTTCTTTGCTCACCAGTAAGGTTAAACGCTCACTTTCGGTATTAAAGTATAAAGGGGTTATTTTCTTTTGTCACAGAAGGTCTGAAAGCATTTCTTAAAATTAAATAATTAAGTTTCACTGTTATGATACTGTGTGACCTTCTTGTAATTTCTTATGGCTTTTACTCTAAGGAGTTTAGGAGTTTGGTTATAGCAATAGCAACTTTGTGTCATGAAGGAAAGAACTGGATTGGCAATTGTTTCTTATGGAAGACTTAACAGAAAACTGTAGAAAGCAGAGGTTGTGAGACTCAGGGCTTTTAAATCTTCCTCTCTGGGCTTAAAAAAAAGAGAAGACTCCTATTTCTGGGATGTTTGCATGCAGTCTGTATTAGGCAGAGGGAAGCACAGAGGGACCTTTCAAGATATTTTAAATTTGAGTCTATAGTTAGAAACACTATTTGAGTTCTCGTAATATAATTTTACTCTCAAAGAACCCATCTGAATTAGTGGGTCGTTCCTCCCCCTCATTATTTCTCTCCCTCTCTCGTTCATATCTGCACATGTCCATCCAAGGACCCTGCTTCTGAAAATCTTCAAGGTATCAAATGTGTGGGTTTTATAATATTAAAGTGCTTTCCTTTTTTCCCCTGTTGTAGGGTGACTTCATTATCTTGCTTGCAAGGAGCTTACATGGGCCCCTTTAGGAACACAGCTGGCTGTCCTAAAAAGAGGGAGTTAGTGAAGAAGTAACCATCGACTGTGTGCCAGGAAGACAGCAGAAAACCTGACAGATGTGGTCCCTTCCCTCATGGAGTTTACAGTCTGACAAAAGAGACGAGTGAATCTGTACCAATAATTGTGTACGTAATTACAATTAGCAAACTCTTGTGATGGAGGAGAAATATAGAGTCGTGTGGAGCAGGTGAAGGAGGCCCTGATTCAGCCTGGAAGGGTCTCTAAGCAGTGATGTTTGTCCAGGGATGCGTGGGGACTGATTGCACCTGCCACCCCTCCTTCCTTGCAGAATGCTGCATTTAGTGCCTGGGAACTGCAAGGAATCAATCTATTTCTGTTTTCTTCTGGTGGCTTTAGCAATACCCCACAAGTATGAAAATGAAAATACATTGCTGTAGTTAATTAACAACTTTCAGATGACGCCATTTTATCTGAAGAAAGACTTTGCCTGATGGAATGAAAAAGCTTGACAGACCTCTGGGGGCGTCGGCTTATTCACAAGACTTGCAGGAAGGCCGTGGACGCCCACCTGCCCCACGTCTCCCGTGTCCAGTATGGGAACACCTGAAGGGACGGAGGGCCTTTGCTAGCTAATCGGCTCTCTGATAACTAGTCTTTAAAAATAAAAATTCGTCTATTTTCCAACTTACAATGAAATGTGCCTTAGCCACCATAGCTTTTGTGATTTGGAAAAGCTCCACGTTTAACTGTGGGGTAGAGCCTGAGACGACTATGACAAATAGGAACATTCTTCTGAGTTGTTTAATCCCCTGAGATGATTATGGCTGTTCTTTTGCCAGACAATGACTCTCAAGTCCATTAGACTTAAAAACAGATGCTTCTGGGGAAAGTGGCTTCGATGCATCAGGTTACTTAGTATTTTTATGTGGCGTTGTTATGGCCATCTCCTAATGTTAGATAATTTGTTCCACAAATCTGGAACTGTCTCCTCCTCAGCTTTTATCAGAAGCCTGGCTGTGGGACGTGGAAGTCAAGGGTGGATTTCTGGTACAGCTGTGCCCCTGGACGCCAGACCATCAGAGTTGCTCATTAGATCTCATTGCCTTTGCTTCCTACCAAAGAGACTCTAGAGAGTTATGCTGTGGAGTTTGTTGAGGGACACAATGGATAACTACCCCGTGACGTCACACGGGGGTCTGCCTGGTCTGCGCCATTGCTTATTGCCTCCTGTGGACAGACCCACAGTGAGCATTTGAGAGGTAGGTGCTGGGAGAAGCTTTTTTCCCCTGGGCTGCAAAACATGGTTCCCCATTCCCCCTCCTCCTGAGACACCCAGACATGGAAATGCACACTCTCTCTGAGTTTGGAAAATCATGAGATTACTGTAATCCGGGGGAAATGTGATGGCAGCTGGAAACAGGGCAGGTTAGTGGGCATGTGGGTGGAGTCAAGAGAGAGGGTCAGAGCTGGAGTAAGGCTCCAAGTGAAACGAGAAAAACGTCCTCCAGGTGTGTTGTGGTCTTTCCTGAGGGGTGAACGTGTCCCACTGAGAGGATTGTACGGCCGGTGAAGAATAAAACTGAGCTGCTTACCTCTCACCCTGGGCCTTGCTGGAATGTAGCATTTTTGACCCATAGATGTTTATTTCATTTCTACAGAGCATTTCAGATGCACTTTTGGTCTTTTATTTTCATAATAGCTTTGTTGAGATATAATTCACATATCATAACATTCACCTTTTTAAAAATTTTTTAAATTTATTTTTATTTATTTATTTTTTGAGGAAGATTAGCCCTGAGCTAACATCTGCTGCCAATCCTCCTCTTTTTGCTGAGGAAGACTGGCCCTGAGCTAACATCCGTGCCCATCTTCCTCGACTTTATATGTGGGACGCCTACCACAGCATGGCTTGCCAAGTGGTGCCATGTCCACACCCGGGATCCAAACTGGCAAACCCTGGGCCGCCGAAGTGGAACACGTGAACTTAACCACTGCGCCACTGGGCCAGCCTCACATTCACCCTGTTAAAGAGTACAATTCAGTGATTTTAGTGTATTTACTGAGTTGTGCAACCATCGCCACTAATTTTAGAACATTTACATCAACCCCCGAAAGAAACCCCATACCTGTTAGCATTCTGTTGCCGTACCCCTCTCCCCCCGCCCCTGGGACCGACTAATGTACTTTCTGTCTCTATGGACTTGCCTGTTCTGCACATTTCATATAAATGGAACCAAACAGTGTGTGGTCTTGGGTAACGGGCCTCTTGCATCCAGCATAGTGTTTTCAGGGCTCATCCACACTGTGGCCTGCATCACTACTTCATCTTTTTGCAATGCCAGACAATATTTTAGGATATGGATGGACCACATTTTCTTTAGCCGTTTGTCAGCTGATGCACATTTAGATTGTCTCCACTTTTGGGCTGTTGTGAACAATGCTGCTATGAACATTGTTGTGAAAGGTTTTGTGTGGACTAGTGGTTTTGTTTTTCTTGGGTATGTACCTGGGACTGACACACTCGTTCTTGAGTTTCTTCCAACAGTTGAGTATTTTGGGTGAAAGTGGGATCTCAATTGAAAATCAGTTTCTGGTTGCAGATGATCATATATCCTATAATTGTGTTTTTTGGGCTTTTTAAAAAGATTTTATTTTTTTTTCTTTTTCTCCCAAAGCCCCCTGGTACATAGTTATGTATTTTTTAGTTGTGGGTCCTTCTGGTTGTGGCATGTGGGATGCCGCCTCAGCATGGCCTGATGAGCGGTGCCGTGTCTATGCCCAGGATTCGAACTGGCGAAACCCTGGGCCACCGAAACAGAGTGTGTGAACTTAACCGCTTGGCCATGAGGCGGCCCCAATATATCCTGTAATTGTTCAACATAGATTTTAATGAAATTTGTTAGGCAGTTAAAGATACATCTATCAACTACTAAGTTGTGTGTGTGTACCATGTGCAGTTTGGTGGTTGATCTGAGGCTGTTGTCTTAGGATATTCATATTGCAGTTCTGTCAGCTGTAGACCTCTGGACAACAGCATATATTTTACTTCCACCCACAAACCAAATTTCAGCTACTTAAAAGCCATTAAAAGGAGGGGAGGGAGGGAGGACTAGGTGGAGCACAGAGGATTTTTCGGACAGTGAAGCTACTCTGTGTGATTCAGTGGTAGCTACACATCGTTGTAAATTCGTCCAAACTCAGAGAATGTACAACACCGAGAGTGAACCCTCACGTGAGGTGTGTGATTCTGGCAGATGACGATGTGTCAGTGTAGGTTCATCAATTATAATAAATGTACCACTCTGGGGGATGTTGATGGTGGAGGAGGCTGTGCACATGTGTGGGCAGAGGAAATAGGGTAAGTCTCTGTACTTTCTGCTTTATTTCACTGTGAATCTAAAACTACTCTGAAAAATAGTCTAGTAAAACAATCCATGAAAAGATCAAGCAGCTCTGTGCATTTCAAAGGGAATCTTCTGCCATTTGGTCTGAAGGTCCCAGCTTGTACACTGTGCAGCAGCCTGAGTTTGCTGGATACTTTGTTTCCCTGCTTGTCAGCAGTCCCTCTGCCTGGTCCCAGAGCCCTGGGGGGACTGGCCTCTGCCCTCCTCTGCGCCTCTCTACTCCTCCATCCCAGCGCTTTAGCAGTGCTGGCCTTTCCATTGCTTAAACCTCTCTAGCTCATTCCTGCCTCCCAGCCTTTGAACCAGCTGCTCCCTCAGCCTCAATGCAGTGCTGCCCTCCCATTATTATCAAGTCTTAAACAGCCTCCCCTCAGAGAGACTCCCTGGCCTCTTGCTCTGAATCAGCCACACCGACCTTGCCCTGATTCTGGCTGACTGCTCTGAGTGGCCTTTCTCAGTCCCCTTGTTTATCTACGTGTTTGTTCCCACGTTGGAATGAGCAACCCCACGAGGGAAGGGAATCTGCTTCCTGTGCTGCTCCACCTCTGAACAGCGGCTGTAAGGCGTTAAGTAAATGTCAGTGGGTGAATGGCCAAGTTCCTTTCCTCCTCCTGAGATGCTGGTGCCCGTTAGAGCCAATGTTTTCCTGGGGGACAGCAACCAGTAACCCCCAGACAACCAACAAAGCAAAACCACAAAGCATCACTGTAATTTAACCTCTCCCTTTTTCCCTCTTTTAGAGCGATCACCCTCTGCCCCATCCCACTCTTCGCAGAAAGGAGCTGCCACGAGACTGTGAGTGTTGACCGTGCGAGGACCAAGGTAGGAGTCACTATGCTGCCGTCTTCAAACAGCAGGGTGGGGCTTCCTGGTGGAGAGCGGAGGTAGAGTTCGCATCAGCTGAAGGCGGGCTGCCTCCCAGTTGTCCTGTATCTTCTCTGCTGTCTTCTCTTTTCCAGTGAAGACATTTCATAAATACCTTAGCTCTGAAAATTTCTGTTTTATCTTCAGGAGAGTCTTAGATTTCAAGCTGTTTCAGGTGAGTGCATGCTTCCTCACTCATTGGATCGTTGTCTTAAATGACCGCACGAAAAACAGGGATAACGTCAAAATTTCCTAACCTCTCTGCATTAGTGCCGAAAGACAGCACCCGTGCCTGCCTCAGCCAAGCCTTGAGGAAGTTTGGTGGCATTAGAAATCTTCAAAGAAACCTCAGTCAGCTGTGCGCCTTTTCAGCAGCGTTACTGACATTGTTACTGGCACTTCTTCCCTGTGTATGGTAATTGAAGCCAAGGCTAAGAGATGTGCTGGTTAGACCTGTTCTGTGCCCGCTGAGGAGGAAGGAAGGCGTCTGCTTGGCAGTTGACGTTGTGCAACTCGGCTCACTGTCTTTACTAACTTTTCTTTAACCTCAGGGGCAGTCCTACTCTCGAGGATAAACACAGCGCTTGTGTTGTTAATGTTCTCTTTCTTCTCTGCAGCTCTGGCCGCCTTGCGACTGGGCTCATGTGGCTCTTAGGGTGGCCGTGCTTTTTCATCGTTGCTAGTGTGCTGTTTGCCTGAGAAGACTCAGCCCTCCGATGGACCCCAGGGCCGTGTAATCCCAAGTTAATTAAAAATAAACTTTTATGAATATTTAAGAGTCATTGTTCAGCACAGCATTCTATAGGCTTGTTTGTTTGTCTTCCGTAGAATTCACAATAATTCTAGGAATGTGGCTAGGATTAGAATGCCTGTATTGGGCTGATACCAGGAATGACAACTATTTCTAAATATTTGACCCCCGTGATGTCTCTCCCCTTGTCTGGTAGTGTCTGTCCCATCGAGGCTGGGTGAAGAAAATAATTCATTTATTCAACAAATACTCACTGAACGGTTTCTGTGTGCCAGATGCTCTTTTCAGCGTTGCGAATAAGGCCGTGAACAAAACAAAATCCCTGCTCTCCTGGAGCTTTTAAAAAGCTCCCGACGTCGTCAGTAAACGGGTGGGAGAGGGGAGGCTCTGAGCACCTGGCCTCGCAGGTGTTGGGGGCAAGCCCCTCCAGGTGGCAGACGGATACAAGACGAGAAGGAAAGAGTGGAACTTGATATGGAAAAGAGGATAAAGCAATCTTCTGCCCTAGTTTAATCACTGCAAATATACAGAATCTTATTAAAACAACAAAGAAACAAAAAGATGCCAGGTTGATGTAACTTGGGCTTAGAAGAGAAAGAAGGATTGCTTTCCAAGTATACCATTTTTATACATTTTTTTCAGATTGACAGATTTTGCCTAAATTCTGCATCTCCCATCCCCTCCCAGCCTCGGTGGTCAGTGTCTAAGGTACCCTTCCAGAGTTTCTCTGTGCACAAACGAATATGACTTCAAGTGTGAATATGAAGTCCTATTTGCCCCCTTCATAAGGTCAAAGATGGCAAACTACGCTTCTCTGCAATGTATGTTTTTCCCCAGGGTGTGTAAGAGGGTTTAACACATCAGGACTGAGAGAGCGTCCTCATTCTTTTGTTTCTCAGCAGTTACAGAGTAGGCCATTGTATGGATGTACCACAATTTAAATAGTGACCTATTGATGGACATTTGGGTTCTGGCCAATCCTTTGCGCTTAAACAAAGCTGCAAGAAATAACTTTATACATAAGGTATTCTGCACGTATGCAGTTACAACTGTAGAAATGTGCAAAACAGAATGGCAAGTCACAAGGTGTGTGTATGATTTTGATAGATGTTGTCAAATGACCTCCCAGAGGGCGTTTTTCTTGTTCTTATCCCTCATAGAAACCTGTGAGAGCAACTCTCACCAGGGTCTGGACTTTTTGCCAATCTGGTAGGTTCAGTGGTTTCTCAAAGTAGTTTCAATTTGGGAGAACTCTTTGTTCAGAATTTTCAGTGGTATTCTTTTAAAGAAAAAAAATGCTCAGAAAATTAAACAGGATGAGGATTCATCTCTTTTTATTGTACAAAAGGACCACTAAAAGCCATCTTAGATCTTTTGTTCTGTAATTTAAGACAAGGTTTGTCCATGTTAAAAGTGCTGCATTTTAAATACTGAAACCACCCAGGATAGAAGTGTTTCTCAGGCTCGTGGTGTACCTCGGTGACCTGCTGAGAAGAGTAAGGCCTTTCTCCCATAATTTGGTGCTGTATTATAGCAAATTGAAATAGGACAGGGTACAAAAATGAGTTAACACCACAGACCTGAGACGGCTCTCCTTCGAAAGGCCTGCTTGCAAGGTTGGCCCTTGGGTGGCATCTGGGAACTCGATTTGGGGAAGGTCCCCACCATCCCCTGATAACGGCTCACTGTGCCCGACTGTTTGTGCAGCCAGTATGGTTTATGTTGAATACCTGCTTGCATTCCAGGAGTATGGGATTTGGGTACATGCCCAGCAGAAAGTGCCTATGTGACCAACCCCAATAAAAACCCCAGACACTGAGTCATGAATGAGCTTCCCTGGTAGATGACATTTCACAGGCGTTGTCACAGCTCATTGCTGGGGAATTAAGCATGACCTGTGTGACTCCACTGGGAGAGGACTCTGAGCTTGAGCCTGGTCTCCTCCGGGCTGTGTCCCCTGTGCCTTTTGCCTTTGCTGACTTTGCTCGTATCCTTTTGCTGTAATAAATCTTAGCCATGAGTGTGGCTAGATGCTGGGTCCTGAGTCCTCCTAGCGAATCATCAAACTAGAAGTGGTCTTGGAGACCCGACACAATCAGCTTTGCAAAGATTTTAATATTCTATTTAATATGTCTATATTAATGGCGGGTGACACAAATATTTTTAGTATGCACTTAACTGATCTTTGGCATTATATCTTGACTTGTATTCTGTGTTCAGTTGTAAAGTGTGTAATAGTTCAGATTTCTGAACACTGGTTCATCGTTTGCTTCTACAGATGGAGGCAGCAAGACGGCCACCGGGTGTGAACGTTTTTGTGTTTAGTGGTGAACCCACAGCTTCTTTGGTCCCCCCAATGTCGTATTTAGGCTTAAAAGCCTCTTGCTTTAATTTTCTATAATTTGATTATTAGATAAATGGACTTACTCAAACTCCTTTGGATTCATAGCCACAGAATTTTAGTTAAGCAGTCTGATTTCTGAGTACGCCCTGATTCTGAAGCGTGTCTGCAGATAGCGTCCTAAAAACTTCACTCCAGACAGCAGATCTTTGTCCAAATAGGATGTAAAACCTTGCAATTTTTTTTTTTTGGTTGGGAGGTCGGCCCTGAGCTAACATCTGTGACCAATCCTCCTCTTTTTCGCTTGAGGAAGATTGGCCCTGAGCTAACATCTGTGCCCATCTTCCTCCATTTTATGTGGGACACTGCCACAGCATTGCTTGATGAGCAGTGCATAGGTTCGCGCCTGGGATCTGAACCCACCAATCCCAGGCCACCAAAGCAGAGTGCATAGGCTTAACCACTACACCACCAGGCTGGCCTCAAAGCTCTCAAATTTTGAAATAAAGCTTTCTTTTTGTATAATTGTGTATTAGCATCTCATTTAAAATTCTTGCATATTCGAATAGAAAACTGATAAAAGTGTTAAACATAAAGATTTATTTGTTTAAGCTGCTTTTCCTAAAGAAATTAGATGGTGTCTAAAGAGAAGAGTTTATAGTTACTTGGTTTAAGTCTTAAATGTAGTCGAGAGCACTGGGTCTTGGTGCTCACAGTTGACCCGTATATTTTTGATGATAATAACTAAGATTGACCCTGTGGCAGCCACTGTTCTTAATGTTTTACATATAGTACCTCATTTAATTGTCACAGCAACCTTATGAGGTAGCTACCATTAATTCCACTTTGAGACATAGAGGGTTTAAATGAGTTGCCCAAAGTGAAGTGGCTTGCTAGAACGGTGTAGAACCATAATTTGAATTCAGGTCGTCACCTTCATAGGCCGAGTTCTTAGGCGCTCTGCTGTCCTGGGTCACATGGTAATATCTCATTGGTGCTGCGGAAAGTTGGTTGAATAAAGAACTTTATACACTTATCCTTGGCTATAGGGATGAACTGATTGTTTTCTGCTGAGTGTAAGAAATGCTCATCTCCTTGGTTTCTAAGTGTGAGGAATCATAAGTGGGATCCGTATAAAACACAAAACGGAGCGTGTTACTCCCTGATCCCATTATCCAGGGGGCAAGATCCAAATGTCATAACAAGGCCCTATGAGGCTCTTCAGGAGCACTTCAGCCAGGCTGACTTTCCTTCTGTTCCCATACATACAAACCACATTCTCCTTTGCTCCTCAAGGTCCTTGCATATGCTATTCCTTCTGCCTTAAATAACCCTGTCCCAACTTGCCAGACTCATCTTCATCCTTCAGATCTGAGTTGAGAGGCCCTTTTTCTTTCCGGAAGTCTTCCCAGACCTTCCCAGACTGGGGGGATGTGCCTTGGCAATGTGTTCCCATAGCTTCTTGGACTTTTACTTATCCACACGTTTATCTCCCTGTGTTATGGTTGCTTCCCCAGCTGGACTGCAAACTCTTTGAGGTCAGGGGCAGGTCTGTCTGCTTGACTTGGTGCAACAGACCTTCACATGTCTAACTGAAGGCTAAATAAGCTTTCAAAAGATGAGAGAGGGGGCCAGCCGGTGGCATAGTGGTTAACTTCATGCACTCCTCCTTGGCGGCCCAGAGTTCGTGGGTTTGGATCCTGGGCATGGACATAACAGACCGCTCATCAAGCCATGCTGTGGCGGCGTTCCACATTACGAAATAGAGGAAGGTTGGCACAGATGTTAGCTCAGTGACGATCTTTCTCAAGCAAGAAGAGGAAGATTGGCAACAGATGTTGGCTCAGGGCCAATCTTCCTCACCAA